AGCAAACAGAGAGCGGCTTACACAAACTAAACATTGGCAAACGAATGGAGAGCAACATCAGCGTCCACTGAGCTGCATAGCTGAGGTTATTAACTGATGTAATGAAATGAGAGCACGCCCTCCAGTGAGCTAAACACTCATTACATTTGTGATATATGGCTTTGTTGATTTTCCTATGTGCCTGTGTGTGTACTCTGAAGTAAACAACACTAACAGGCCATATCTCTTGTTTTTTATTCTTCTTAGCCTCTGTGAGATTTCCCAGTCCCTCAGTCTACTTGAATTTGTTAAAAAATTGTTTTTTTTTGCAGACACAGTTTGAAAAATTATATATCCAATGCTCCCTAGTTCCTCCTCTGTAGTCGTCTGGCCTCACACCAGACCACAGAAAGAATGAAAAATTACACAAGCTCCAGAAAGTCATAAAAAACATTTAGGAAGCACAAGAGGAGGTCCCATTTCCTCTTCAAGTCTTTGTTGTGAACAAAGTTGGTGGTCCACTAACTCAAAGTTAAACTCAGTTACTTTGAGCTTGCATTATCTTTTTCACTGTTTCCGAGAAGGATCATCACTTTTTTCACCCTCTTATCGAGTAAAACTGAGTTACTCCACTTCCAAGTTTTAATCACATGCCTCAGGCTGCAGAGCTGGAGCCATAAACCCACACTGTAGTTGTTCTCTGTTGGTGCCAGAGGAGAACAGAGGAGGCTCAGATTTCTTGTCTTGATTTTTCTCTGACTTTCCACAGATGCTTTCAGGTGCTGTAGAAAATGTCGGAAATATCACAACAGTATGCACATGTTCGAACAAACTACGCACTGTAAAGGAAAAGTTGAATTATTTTTTGTCCAGGTCAACCAAATGTGACATTTAGGGGTTTGTTCTCTATTGAAGCATTACAGTATTATATGGCAGCATATATTAAGCTATTACAGTACAAATTATGATTATTCTATGTTATTTGACTGAAGTAAATTGGAGTCAACTGCTTCATTGTCAGTTTCTGTTGGCTGTAAGTAAACTGAAGTGCCTCTGGGAAAGTAATTGACTGAAGTTGAGTAAAGGCCCGATGTTATAAAAAAGATTAACATATTAGCAGTACAATCAGACGGCTATCAGAAACCTCTGGTGAGTAGCTGCAAGCTGTAACATTCATTGTTTGTTAATTTCTGTGACACTACATACTCCATCTCTAACCAGTGACTTAAACACAAACAAATTGGATTGCATTAGACACTAAAGACCTAATAAAACAGTAAATTAGTGTCAAGGTAAAATTAAAGGTTACCATTTTTTTCTTGTATATCAAAGAAAAGGTTTTAATATTTATTGTGTTAGATATTATAATATATGAAGTATTATTTCTATTCTTTAACATTACTTGAGTAGAACAACTGTGACAAACAAATTTCCCCCGGTGATCAATAAAGTATTTCTGATATAAAGCCTCAAATGGCTTTACAATATTTACACTATATGACACACAATCATTAGACAGTTCAATATGGAAACACTATATTCCCACACACACAACCTTTA